GGGGGGGGAGGCACACCTGGGCCATGCCCCCCTCACCTGCCCCGGCCTCACCTGTGCCTTCCTTGGCAGCCGAGAGCAGCGACAGCTACCACGTCATCCTGAAGTAGGACAGGTGAGGGCACCTGGGACACCTCGACACCTGGGACACCTGAACACCTGGAACACCTGAACACCTGGACACCTGGAACACTTGGATACCTGGGACACCTGAACACCTGGACAACTGGAACACCAGGACACCTGAAGCACCTGAACACCTGGACAGCTGGAACACCTGGACGCCTGAACACTTGGAGCACCTGGACACCTGGACACCTGGAACACCTGGACAGCTGGAACACCTGGACACCTGAACACCTGGACACCGCCCACTCCCAGCACAAGGACACGAGCAGAGAGCTGGGAACACCTGGGAGCCCCCAGGTGTGCTTACCTGTCTGTACCTGTTCCAGGTGACCCCCAGCTGTGGTTACCTGGCTGTGCCTGTCCCAGGTGTGGTTACCTGGCTGTCCCTCTCTCAGGTGACCCCCAGGTGTGGTTACCTGTGCTTACCTGGCTGTGCCTGTCCCAGGTGACCCCCAGGTGTGGTTACCTGTGCTTACCTGGCTGTGCCTGTCCCAGGTGACCCCCAGGTGTGGTTACCTGTGCTTACCTGGCTGCCCCCCCCTCAGCAGCTGTGAGGCCCCAGGTGTTCCCCCCCGGGCCAGGTGTGTCTCCAGGTGTGTGCAGGTGGGATCCGATCCCGCCGGGAATTTACCGATGGAAAATTTGGGAATAAAGGAATAACTGGGGGGGGGGGGGGGCGGGGGGGGGTGTCGCTGTTTTAGGGAGAAAAACAACGATTTGGCTCTTTCTGCTGAACACGGGGAGGGGTCAAAGCGCCCCTGGGCAGGTGCCCAGGTGAGGGTGTGCCCAGGTGAGGCTGTGCCCAGGTGAGGGTGTGCCCACATGGGAGGGTGTGCCCAGGTGAGGCTGTGCCCAGGTGAGGCTGTGTCCAGGTGAGGCTGTGCCCAGGTGGGGGTTGTTCCCAGGTGGGGGTGTGCCCAGGTGGGGGGTGTGCCCAGGTGGGGGTGTGCCCAGGTGAGGCTGTGCCCAGGTGGGGGTTGTTCCCAGGTGGGGGGTGTGCCCATATGGGGGGGCATGCCCAGGTGAGGGTGTGCCCACATGGGAGGGTGTGCCCAGGTGAGGCTGTGCCCAGGTGAGGGTGTGCCCAGGTGGAGCTGTGCCCAGGTGAGGCTGTGCCCAGGTGAGGGTGTGCCCAGGTGAGGCTGTGCCCAGGTGAGGG